CATTGCTGTCACCTCCCACACATTTCACATATTTTAAAGTTTCACTATGAATAAAAACCACACTCTCAAAGTAAGCCAACTTTTAATTTATTTTGGAAGAAAAAAATAATAATGTTCCTTAATGAGGATAGATTTCTTGATTTGGAGATGGAGAACTTGAAAGCCTTACTAGCGAGGGCTGCAGCTGCGGTACCACAGGCTGCTGACGGGAGCCTGCCGCGTGGAAAGAAGCATCTCCCCGCGGCTCTGCCTGCACGGGGGGACGCTGGAGGATGAGGAGCCCTCCGAGGAAAGCCGCTGCTCCTCAGCACGTTCTCTCGTCAAGTGCGTTTGAGTCACGCAGGAGCAGAAGGGAGGTGCAGGGCCAGGGGGAGGCTTCCCACCCATGAAGGAGAAGTGGGGTTTTGCAGAGGTGAGGACGAGGCGACAGGCGGTTGCGGAGAGGGGAGCTGCGGCTGGGAGACACGGCGTAGCCGTGACGGGCTCCTTGGTGCTGCACCGGCGGGCAGCACCCTCACCGCAGCCTTCCCCCCGAGGTGGACCAGCCAGGCTATGCCCAGCTCCTTCCCGGGCACAAGCAGTCGGAGAACGAAGCCAACACAACCTTCCGAGGAGTGTCTGGAATTGCTCTGAGCTGGAGGAGGCTGCAGGCTTTCAGGGCAGAGATTGCCGTAGCCAGCCAGCTAAATAAAACACAGGCAGAAGCAGCTACACGGAGAGAATCGCAGGGCAGCAATCATCATCAGACACGCTGCTTTATGCCTCCAGAATATACTTACACAGAGAGGCTCATGCAGACCAAACAGGGCTTCAGTAATGAGCCCAAGGGGTGGGAAACGGTCTTGGCATTGCTCGACAGCGTGGGGGAAAGTCCCACCAGTCCTGTGCCACCGTCACCGTCACGGGTGCCGAAGGACTCTCAGGGAAAGAGACGGGCAGCACGCACAGCGCTCGCCAGCGAGCTCCTCACGCAGGCGGCATGGGTTGTCGGTTGATACATGAGGGAAATTACAGATGTTTTCTCCAGTTAAAACTACCTTAAAATATATACGCTACTCATAAAGTTTGCAGGCTGTTTGTGAAAATCCGAGCTTCTGTCCAAACGAGAGGGGGTTCTGCCAGGGCTTTCTGCAGGGCAGCTCCCCAGCCCTCGATGCCTCCTCTCCAACCCCAAAAGTGTGTGACAGTCTTGATCTGACAGCATCCACAGCAAAACACTCGGCCTCATCCCTGAAACTTTCCCATGTTTTCTTTCACACCTGAAAGCTGCCGGTTCAGGGTGCTGAATTATAGCAGCCCAGCTCCGCAAGCGAGAGGTTGCAGGGATGGAGCGCTGGAAAAGGACCAAGAAAACCTGAACCCCGGGTTGGACTGGGTGATCTCCAGCCATCCTCCTCATCCTGAGCAACATTTTCCTGCAATTCTGTAATTCTCGTTCCCACCTTACTCTGCTTTCTTCCAATGCCACCACGCTACCAAGTATTGGGTCCAGCACAGTACCTAATTCTGTATAAGATATTGTAATTTCCATAGTGCCAATACATCCTCCTGGGATCCCAATTCCAACAGCATGACTGCTCCATCATGATAGAAAGAGATTTTATTTGCATTCCAACTTAAAATATTGCAAATTGCAGAATGACTCGTGACATCAGTTTAACAAAAACGTCCCTGCACTGCCAGATTTAGAGAGGGCCCCTTTGAAATGATATTTTCAGACACCTTTGTGGTCACAAAAAAATATTAGGCAACAAAGTGGCAACTTGTGCAGAATTATAGAAGACAAAGTCTAATGAGAAGCTTTTAACTTTGGTAGCTGATTCAGAGAGAAATTTTCCATTAAAATGACAATAAACACCTGCAGCCAAGGAGCAAGACAAGTGTTTTGTTTCAGTTTATCAGCTACTGGGCTCCTAATGTTTACAATATGAACTGTATTACAAAACCGTCGTACTAGTCATGTTTAGTTCAATTAAACATTCCCCTAAAAGTATGTTTTCTATACAATCAATCCACTAGGGTCTTCTTGGTTTTTTGAGGAGGCAGTATTTTTGCAGGCCAGGGAGATATGTGTAGAAAGCAAGTGCTGAAAACCGACTGGCTGCACATGGTCGGAGAAAATATGCTGTATTAAAGCAGCAAGGCTTATCAGGGAGATGAAAGAGCCCTGGCTTGTGTTCGTATTCAGCCAGTTAGATAGTACAGCAAGAACCTCAAGGCGAATGGTTTCATTAAACATTAATTTGTGAAGCGCTTCAAAGTTAAGGTTGAGGCATGCTTCTGTATAATACATAATATTATTCATCATCTAAAAAAGTTGTTTTGGATGCAATTAAGGAATAATCCTACGGCTCTCAGCAGTGATTCAATGGAATTCAGGGAGGTCTTGCATCATTTAACACAGACAAACATACAGCAGAGGAAGGGCTTGCAAGTCTCTCTCCCTTTTAATTTGGCAGATCTGAGGAAAAGAAGTCATGTAGGGGTTTAAAGCGTGGCCTTTGATTCATTTGCTTTAGTATTTCAAGCTTATCAAAGTAGCTTAGCTCCTAGAAGACAGCTAGTTGTTTACAGTCATTCACGATGTGATGAAGATGGGACAAACGGTAACCTTCACAGCAAGGCTAGTTGGAAAGTTTTGCATAGGATGGGCTACAATTCAGCCAATTCTCCTGTTCCTTCCTCGCTCCTGAGCCGAAGCTGCTGCTGTTGCATTAAGTGCTCAGAGCAGCAATGAGAACCTTTCTTCCAGAAAGTGCCCAGTGAGCAGAACACTGAGGGGGCTGCAACCCCGGAGAGGAGGGCACAGTTGTACAGTTGCTCAATGCATGTTCTTAACAAGAAGTCCTAAAAATCACTATAATTTCAAGAATTGCTTTGTAGGCCTATTTCTTCTAACAACTGTATTACTGACTATGTCCCCAAATTCCTTGCTGCAAAGCAACTATTTCAGAATCTTATCTAGTTCCTTTACCAGACATTAACTACTGTGCACCACTGGAAGGGAAAAAAAGAAGAGGAAAGATGTAGAAACTTAAATAATTTGTTAAGAGAGTAGTAGCTACTGTGAATGGGGGCTCTCACTTACGTTGGGGCAAGTAAAGACGAATTTTCCACTACACAGACCACTCTAATATTCTTTGGTATTGAAATTACAAATCAACTGCAGCCAGCCACCGTCACTGACTTGATTAAAAACCAGCTGAGGTAGGAGAGCCCAGCAGCACCATACCTAACACTTCTCTAGAGCCAGCTCCAGTTTGGAAGCTACTATTAGCCTTTACGGCAGGGTGTATCTGTGCAAGTAGTAACTCTAAAATGCACCAGAGGCACCCAAACAGCTTTTCAAGAGGCAGCCTAATGCTGGCAATTGTGAAGCCAAGTGTAAGCCAATTTGGTGAAAAGCCATACAACTTCCTCTGCATTCACTGTCCACTGAGTTGCATGGTAACAAATTTTTGGTATCATCTAGGATATACCAAAGAGTTACTTTCAATAACATGACAGTTTTCTTACCAGGAGCTTGGATATCTAAGGAAACAGAGTGCCATCTGCACAGGGTAAGGAAGGAAGGAAGAAAAACCTGAAGGACGTGAAAACAAACAACACAGAAGAATCTCTATCACAAAATAACTGAGCAAAGAATACAGTTTTTCTGTCAACAGTTGGGATTTTGAGACCCAAGTGTTAATTTGCAAGCTTACTGAAAACTCACCACTGTCTGTGCCCAGCATGCTTGTTCAGTGCTGTGAGTGGAGCGTGCCAAGCAGTCGCAATAGTGCTCCACCACCTACTGCTTTCCTCTAGATTAAAGCACGTGCAGTTAAAGGGAGCACTGAAGTGCCACACACTGAACCGTGGCCACAGCAGACTGTTCATCATAAACCCCCTCCTCTGTAACTTGTCTGCCTCTTGAGTTTTCCATTTCACAGCACAGCTGAGGTTGGAAGGCACCTCTGGAGATGACCTAGTCCAACACCCATCCCACCCACCGCCATGTGTCCAGGCAGGTTTTGAAGAAGACTCCACCACCTCTCTGGGCAACCTGCTCCACTGTCTGACCACCCTCACAGGAAAAAGTTTTTCTGATGTTTAAATGGATTCTCCTGTACCTCATTTTGTGCCCATTGCCTCTCAGCCTGCCACTGAGCACCACCAGGAAGAGTCTGGCTGTTTTGACTCCCCCTCCATTATATATTTATAAACTTCGGCAAGATCCCTCCCAAGCCTTCTGCGGGCTTAGCAGTCCCAGCTCTCTCAGCCTCTCCTCATACAACAGATGCCCCACTCCTTAACCATCATGGCCTTTTGCTGGACTGCTCTACTAAGTCCATGTCTCTCTTGTACCAAAGAAGCCCAGAACTGGACCCAGCACTCCAGATGTCTCACCAGATGCCAGTAGAAAGGATCGCCACCCTTGACCTGCTAGCAATACTCTTCCTAACGCAACCTGGGAGACTGCTGGCCCTCACTGTACGCTGGCTCACGGTCAGCTTGTTACCCCCCATCACCCCCAATGCTCTTTCAAAGCTTGCCTGAACACTAGCTTCCCCTTCCCAAAGAGGTCATGCTCAGCACCCAGGCATCGCTCGGATCGCAGAGGTTTCTTCCACACCACAACCCCACTTCACCTGGCTCCGAAGGAGAGAGCTGGCCGGAGGCCCAGCCCAGCTCATGGTTCAGGACGGACTCAGCAGCAGGGAGAGGAAGCAAGGTTTTCAGGAGCCAGGAACAAGTTTAGCAAGTTCCCAGGACAATCAAAGAGATATTTTTAAGGTAAATGCTTTACTACAAATGCTTTCGTAAGTGCTTCGAAGAAGTTGGAAGTGGTAGATAAAAAAAATTTGTCCAGTTCTTACAGTACAGAAAGCAATTGAAGAAGAGCACAAAAGAGCATGCCATTTGAAGTTCTCTACTTTCCCAGAGCGATGTAGCAATACCAGTAAGGCTACATCTGGCCAAACCTGCAAAAGTATTCATGTATCACCATAGCCTGTAGAAAGATTATAGTCTTTTATTGATTTCTTGTTTTACAGATTCAGATTTAACTTTCAATAATAAAGTTCAATAAATTGATTCCCTAATCATAAAAACTTGTTTTACACATTATGTACAGGTACCCAGAGACTACAGCCATACAGCATGTCACAGCTATACCACAGACCTTCACACGGAACAAGCTGGGGAGAGGTGCTAACTGCAATGACATACATTCAGAGATCAAGTTGTGGATATGCACAGTGCATTTGGCACAGCTCACTGAAGATTGCCCACACAGGGACAGTAAAATAATCCCAACTAAGTGATAACATGGATTAGTTCAACTACATTAAGTCCAGGAGGAACACTTAATTCACAATTAAACTAGCCATTGGAAGAGATTTGATTAAGTTGAATCAAATGCAGCTGAACTAATCATTTAGTTTCATTAAGCATCCCTCTATAGACAAATCCTAGACCTTGAGATCTGTCTCCAATATAAAACATGTCTTTTTAGTTGAGATATGCAGAAGTTTGAGGACTGAGGGGAGCTCAGGTATTAGAAGTATTCTTTGGCAGTTTGATACAAATATAAAAAATAGATTACTTTTGAGGACTAAACTAAGCTTTTCCCATTTTATATCTTTTCTGCCAGCACCAGAACTGCTTCAGTGACACAGTAACACTCACATATGGTAACTTAAACACAACCTTACATTTTAATGAAACAAAATTCATATTACAGTTAAAGTTCAATACTCAAGATACCCTCCAACAGGCTATGCGCTCACCACAAAAAAGTTAAAACTTAACATTCAGTGAGAAAACTTTCCCAAAGCAATGACAGAACCCATGAAACACTGCACGACTGTATCTTCTCTGCAATACTGTAACTGGCAAACATCAGAGACCAGTCTGCAAAAGGCAGCCAACTGTACTCTTAAGCATTCCAGCTCATATAGAACATTATTTGATGTCAAGACCATTAGTTAATTGATTAAACAGCCCATTCTCTTTTATGAGATAAAGTAGACCACAGGTCTCTCCTGTAACTGCAATCTGATCTTAGTATGACAAAAACCTGCAGTCAAGAGTTTATGCAATCTGCTTTATAACATTACATCAAGCTACAACAGTTAAAATACAGTTTCACAAAGAAGCAGACACTCATTTAAAATCTGGCAATTCCCTTTTAAAAGCAGTCGTTTTCCTTTCTAGTGACATGCCTATCCTGAAGGAGATAAAGCCAGACTCATTTTGAAGAGGGAAGGAAAGAAGGAAACACTTCCAGAATGAAGTGTCCAATTCTACAGCCCGCAGGGCAGAAGGCTGCAATATTAATGTTTGTCTCCAGTAATACAGCTCTAAAGATATTGCTTTGTCCAAATGCTGCTATAAAGACTTTCAATTTCAAATTACTTCCAACAATAGGAATGTAACTTGACTAGGGCATTCCACGATGAAGACTATTTAGCCAATATATCTATTTAGTTATCTCAGTTTTGAGATACTGTAGTGCAGCTTCATCTTCTTTTGTCTGCTGCAGACTCCCATTCAAACTTCTAAATGCACAGTTCAGAACAAACCTAACAAAAGGCTTAAGCAGACTCTCCTGCTGGGTACACGAGCACAACAAGCAAGTCACATTAGCCATGGAAGTGGACCTAGTCCATTTTCAGATTTTTCAGCAAGTGATGCCAGAGCCTTAGCCAGCTTGTCACCTTAAGTGAGAAGTTTATGGGGAAAATAGGTATACAAACAATACATAGTACTGTTTATGCTTATTCCCTATGGAAAACTGACCTGATGCTGAGAAGTTTCACTCAGGGCTGTAGGAAAACTTTGATTTTACCTCTTAAAAAAAAAAAAAGAGGGGATGGGTAGCACTACACAGACTGCCTAATCCACTTACCATAGAAGCTTCCATTCCTTTTTATGGAATCTTCTCAGTATTTCTAGAACTTGATATCTCTTGCTGGCTTAGTCATCACAGCCAAGTAGCAGTCTCTAGTCTCAGTTAACAGAACTGAGCCCTCTGGAATTCACACATTATATAGTAAATACACGTGAAGATAAACCAGTGATTAGCTCTGAAATGCCTGACCATGAAGAATTAAAAAGAAACAAGCTGACATGAGAGTTCTTCCTTGGATTTAAGGAACTTCAGGGCATGGAACTCCTAATTATGTTGTCCTGTAGATTTCACAAGACTTAATTCTTGCATGTTCTTTTCGTCACTTGGACATGAAAGTGAGGGTAATTCAGCTTTGAACAGCTTTGCTTGCAATAACTGTCTTTTTCATAAAGGTAATCTGTGAATTTCCCCCTCCCCATAGATTCTCAGGCATTCACACAGACTCTCTAGAAAGGTAAGACACTTTATTGAATTTGTTGATAAATTAAGAAAGGACTATGAACCAGACTTATGGGTCACAGGTGCTTGTAAACAGACATCAGTTCCTTCCCACAGAAAGCCTGACTCCATGTGCTCAGCCAGAAGTCACTTTCCCCAGCGCTGCTCACAGGCTGCATAGTGATGGAGGGCAGAGAAAAAGTCTTCATAGCTGATGTTCAGGTGGGAAGGCAAAGAACTGAGAAAGCAAGTTAGAAAAGTTAAAATAAGCTTTTATAAACACCACACAACTCATATGGCCAGTCAGGAATATCACTACTTAAAACAAGCTATTGTCTTAGTAACCTTGCAAAGTTGTTCTCAACACCATTATTGTCACTCAGCTCCACTAATTAAATTAGCTGTTAATATCTTGTCACCCTCTAAATCAAAGTCTACTCATTCGAGCACATAGGGCACTTCAAATTACTGAGAAAGTTGGAGCAGTACAGGTCTGCCCAGACATTTAAGTGCCCTATAAATGCTCTCAGATTTAAGAAATACGGCAGCTCTAGTCAGTGCAGTTATTGCCAAAACTGGAAAGTAATCCAGAGGCATGATCATCTTACACTATCTTATTTCCCTTATACCCTTAGTTTCCCTGTTAGAAGCCTGTAAGCCACTCAAAATCCACACAAGGAACACCAACAGAACTGGGATTGGACCACTGAGACTAGATGGTGACAGAAGTTGTTCCTTAAACCTGAAGAGTAAAGTCTGCTGTTGCCTAATTGTGGCCGAAGGAGCAACAATGGTTACCATGTTTGACAGGTTTCATTTAACAATTCTTAAATAACCTCAAATCAATCTCCAGACACCTTTGTTTAGACAGATCTACTCTTATGGCTATTTCCATAAGGTAAGTCACAAAGACTTGTTTAGTTAGATATTATTCCAACCTGTTTCACAGCATTTATAGGCAACTCACATGATTTCTGTCAGTCTGATGTGCCATGGAAGGAATCCTAGTGTGCTGTCCACAGGACCAAACTTCAAGACTAAATCAGGATCAGGAAATCCATTTGTACCTGTAAGAACAAGTTAAATTAGCTTTCATTAAATTCACCAGAACATTTGTTTTAATTCTAAACCCTAAGGCATCTGCCTTTTCATTAAATGCTTTTTTTTTTTTAAAATGAAGTGAAGCTCCTGAGGACAAGTTAACAATTAAAAGCCCAGGAGGACAGACTGGTCTTGTACCACCTGAACAGGACCAACTGAGCAAAAGCTTAGGCAGCCACTGCAGGTCCAGCTGGACTGTTATTTTTATGTCAGGTAGTTTTCAAAAGACTTGGTAAGGAAGTTACAGGAACAGTTACATTGTTTTGAATAACAGCAAACCTTAACACCGCTGTTTAAACTAACTTGTTCTAGTTTTGTCTTGGCAAACTGGATTTTAGTACCACAGAACATGCTGTACCCTGACCCATACCTACTGCAGTCAAACAGAATAAAAGGACTGTTAACACACACACACACAAAAAAACCCAACAACCAAACACTTAAGAAGGTTCCACTGAAGAACAACTTGATATCACAGACCATCAAGAAAACAAGTTGTAAAAAAAAAACAAAAAACAAACCATCAGATGAATTCTGTCTCAGTATGGAGCTAGATAATTTAAACTTTTACTACGAAATTTCAGACAAACTGTTGCAGGTGACATCTTTCTGGTTAGATGAGTGAGGAAAACAGGTCACCAGGTGCCCATTCTTACTACCCATACCTTAAAACCCCAGTCACTGTCATTCCACTACTGAGAGCATCCTACTGATCTTCTGAGGTTGAAGACAATCAGTGGCCAAAAGACACTGTCTCCCTTTTCCATAAACCTCTGCCATGTCTGAGCTACTCCAGGCTAAAATTGACAGATAGGCAATAAGCTTAGAATGAACAGTCTTAGTCCAGCTTTCCCTGCTAATTCTAGCAAGTTGATTAGGGCAACATGTGAAAACCAGTATAGTAGCCCAAGGGGACCCAAGAAGGTAAGCCTTCTTTATGCACCTACCTAGCTCATCTGAAAAACATTCCAGCAGTCATAACCCTACTTTGCTATAATGCTGCAATTTGTCATGATTATTGCATGCTATTTCTTGCTACCCCTCCCATTACCCACTAATTCTGTAAGTTAGCTGCAAGGGTGCTTACATTGCATAATGCCTACATTTAGCAGATAAAGCTTAATACTGCCTATTTGCTCTGAACTTCAGATGTTATTCCTCAATTCTTTTCTCACTTTTTTAACAGCAACAACAAAACAAACCCCAAACCAAAAAAACTCCCAAACCAGTCAAGAGCCTTTTACAAGTTTATGTTTAGATGTAGAGGAACTTAACTTTGGGAATAACAGAACAGGAAACTAAGGTCCTATCAGATTTTGCTCCACCCAGGTTTTAAAACCGAAGCTGGAGACTTCAAAAACTTCACATCCTCCCTCCCCACTGAATCACAACAATAGTAATCCTTTTACCAGAGGCAAAGAAGCTATTTTCCCAAGCCTGTGCATTTCTAAGGAAGGATGAAGTACTTGGATATGAGTGCCTTGTGCCACACTCCAAATCTTATCTCAAAGTTAAGAAAAAAAATATATAAAGCAAAAGCCACTTATGTGTTCAGAAGCTAGCATGTTAGTATGAAAGAGTTTTGCAGGGAAGCAGTGAATACTTAGAAGTGGGGACTCTGGAGGAAGTGGACAGTTTTACTCATCAGCTGATTCAGTAGCTGAGTACTCCTCAGCTGGCCAGTTCAACAGCAGGATCTTCAACACTGCAATGGCTTTTCAAACAGGAAAAGACCTTCAGAGAGCCCAGTTAATGCTAATATTTCCTTCTGGTTCCTATCTGAAGGAAAATGAAAACATACACTGTAGTATTACTGTCACAACAGTACTGTGCTTTCTGCATCCATTACTCTACCTCAACACATCAACACTACAGATACTTTACAGGTGAAAGCTCCCTCAGAGCTGCTGGAGTTACAGCACTCTTCAAGTTTAGCACACACAAGATAGAAGGATTTGGGAGCAGACTCAAAAAAAAAAAGGCCAAAAGACTTAGACACTCAAGGAACAGGAGTCTGGCAACATCCCTTCTAGGTCAGGAGTTCTGAGAGAGGAATATGAAGGAATCTGCAGAGCTGACAGTACTACCACCCTTCTCCTCCCCACATAGATTTTACAGGGCAACTTGAACAGCCTTAATTGATAGTCATGTTCTTTACTGGGAAGGCAGACAGCAAGTAGGGACAATATTATAATGCAGCTGGCAACTACTTTTCTGAAAACAAGCTGGTTAGCTGAGGCATTGCTCAGAAGAAAGTACTCTTACACCAAAGAAAACTCAAGCTGTAAGAATTAGAGCATGACTGGATTAAGAACCAGAAAAGCCACATAACAAGCTAGAACCATACCATTTTAGGACTAGACTTCAATAACTGCATCCTAAATATGAACAGAAAGTTAAAAACCTACATTATCAGGTACTTAAATCAAAATGTGAAAAACCAGAATCTTACAGAAGTCACCATGAACACAAACCCTAAAAATATAGCTACTCAAGTACTGCTTTTCAGAACTCAGTCTCAACTTAGATCTGTAACTCACAGATGTTTACATTCAATACCTTTCCATTAAGGATGCACAGAAACTAAATTTGCCTACAAGTGAGTAGTTTCATAAGCTAAATAAGTCATGAAAGACTAGTTCTTCACCTTCAACTGTCCTAAACATTAAACCCAAGCAAATTAATAAGCAGGACTAGTTACAGATACCATCCTTAGTTATTAGCCACATAGATTAAACAGTCTGTTTTCAAAGTTAACAGTTTTGACAGACTAAAAGTCTAGATTTCTCTTTCTGTGCTCAGCTAGCATGCACTACTTGAACAATAAGTCTGCTCAAGTAAGACTGGACCTAATACTTTTAACATACCCAGACACTTAAATGCATGGACAGAAGATCATGAACAAGTGTTTGAGAAGCTCCAGTTAAACATCACTGGCGAAAATACATACATAGTATCAACTATCATCAGTTCTACAGGAAATGAGAGACTATTTTAAAGAACCAGTTATTCGTTTCCTTAAACTGCCTTTGGGATATAACAGGATAGATGTCTAAGTTACTTCTTCAGGTGCTTTATTTAATACATTTAATAATTCCACTACAGTGAGAAGCTATCATGCAGCATGCTGACAACAGGAATAGAATTTAGTTTGAAATTAAGATTAAAGCGTCCAAACTGCCACGGTAGTCAATATGCAGAGCAACTCAGCCAACCACCCATTTGAGAAAAATCACTCTGAAGTCCAATTAATGAGAGCCACAATAATGTGCCTGCAGACATCCAAGTTGAAGTGTGCAATCTGAAACCTGAACCCTGCCAAGCTAATTACAGCTGCATGTATCACCTAGGAAAGCAGAGCAACTGTTATAGCTCCTTAGCACCACTGGGGAGGTGGAGGCTTGTTCTAAACTACTTCTCCCAGATATGAGATTAGGGCAGCCCTGCCCTTTTCATAGCTATTGCATGTAGCCATGCACCTCAGTGCACAGTCAGTTATCTGCATGAATTAGTAATGAAGGTAACTAGTGTGGGTTATACAGCAGCAAAATATCAGCAAGTGCTCCATCATTTGCACTCAGGGTGGTAGTTAGGCAGCAGTAACAGCTTTAATTGCTGTAACTAGATCTTGAAAAGACTCTCTGCCCATACTCTGGTTTGCAGCATGCTAACTTGCAACAAGTTAACCTAAGTTACAACAGTCTAGTTTCAGGTAATCCCAGCAGTACTTTTTGAGAAAGGTCGTTGCAGAACATCCTACAGAGGTTATAAACTGCAAAGCTGAGACTCTCCAATTTAGCTTAAGGTTTCCTTTTTCTGCTTAAAGAAAAAACTCAAAAGGGAGTAAACCAGTAAGAAATTTTTAGCAGAAGCCTGAAAGCAATAATCATAACTTACCCTGATAGACTAAGTATCAAGATGCATATGTTCTAAGCAACAAATATACTAGAAACAAAATCCATTATGAATCGAGTACTCTTTCCCCTCCTCCCCATACACCATGCCATACTTACTACTTAATAAGTTGTCTAACACATTCACATCCAGGTCCGTGTATGTTCTTTGCTGTTGTGCTACCAACTGACAAAAGTTCTGAGCAGCTTTTACTATGTCTGCTTTTCCATCTTCCGGAGACAGCACCTTCAATGCAGATTGGCAATTTAAAACTGCAAGTACAAAACACAGTTTAAAAGCAACAGAAATATAGTTGTTTTGAATGTGCTTTAGACATTCACAGGGTATGACTGGAAGTAACTTGTAGTTTACTTCATATATTATACAACTAGTCATAGATTTCTCTCTTCCATCTCTTACAGAAGTGGGTAAGTGTCTTCTGGATTTGCTGTATTACTAAAGCACAAGTTTAAGGCAAATATTTTGAGGAGTCTTGTGAAAAGCAGATTAATGTCACTCTTGAAATAAAAAGTCTTCCAGGGAATTTGCATTGGTTCTTACACTATCAGGCAAAGCAGCGAGAGGAAGGTGCCTAGACAGTAACTGGGGGGGTGGTAAACAATGCAGAAAGACTTGCAGTTCAGGGAAAGGAAAAAAAGACCCAATTCCTACCCTAAAACAGCTACTGTGGACATTCATGTGACACAATGATTAAGCATGCTGAGTATGATCACAGGATCTTTCAGTAGCACTTCAAAATTGATGCAAAAGTTACAATATTGATTTAGGATTGCTACAGAGAAGCTAGGTATCAGAGTTCAGCCATTAATCTTTAATTACGTCTGTGACTTGAGGACATTTCACAACAATCTTACTGTCTACACTGTTGTGAGGTAAGAGTCTTCTCGCACTTCGACTTGCATCATTGTCAGTTTTGATAAGGTACTTAAGAGGTAAACTTACCAAGGTAGCTGAAGGCTACAGACAGTGTACTAAACCCAGCCTGAAGTAACTGGGTTAAGTACTAGTGTGTGGACACATTAGACTTATAGAGAACTTATGATAGTTATAACCTGATACTTAAAAATAGCATTTCTTAAAACTGCAGAACCTGACTGCAAAGGACCACAGAATACAGTCAGAAGACTCCTAAGAACATCTAAAAAAACCTCACATCTATCCAAAGCCACCACAATGAAAATAATTGTTCCTTGATATTGTTTGATTTGTTGTATGTCCTATGTTAAAGAATATTTCTCTAACAGTATTCATAAATGTAAGGCATGTCATTTTGCTTCTCAGAAGAAGTGAAAAATTGCAGTTTAATATCATAAACTGGATAGATGTCAGCTTGTTCAGTTCAAAGTATGAAGTGTCTGATCTGACTGTGGAGCCTTCTAAGTAAGAATGAAAAATTCTAAAGAGAACAGAAAACACCTCTGCTTTTCATGTATTTCAACACAAAAGGTTGCTGAGACTTAAATGTGCCCTTTCAGCCAGCAAGTCAGAGCAGTCTTTCAGTAGTTCATTTGGTCTAGATGTAAATAGCTGCACTTACTTAAATCAGGGTAAGTATGCTAGAGTTTAAGACATTAACAACCTGTCTTCTGCTGGTTATTTCAACCTTCACAGGAATAAAGTGAAATAATGTGAAACTTGGGTGTTTCCATGTAAACGGTAGCACCTTAGCCTAAGGTGCTTATAAGGCAAGTAAGTTAATGCTACAACATTGGACTTTATACTGGAAAACTGGCACAAAGGATTTCGCCATCCTATCAGCCCTGGCAGGGGAAGCAAAACTCAGCCAGCAGCATCTTAAATGCAGCTAAACATATTACAGCTTGTGAAGTGTAGTCTTATTCTTAAGTCTTTGAACTATGTAATGTGATAAGGGTTGTTTTGGTTTTTGGTTTGTTTTTGTTTGTTTGAATTCTGAGACCTGTTTAAATACTATGAGTTACAGTTAGGAGAGCTTTAAGTATATCAGCCTATCCCTCTAAGGCAAAGGTCTGCTTTAGTAAGTACATACTTGTAATTTACTATATTTTGAATGGACTTCTAACATTTGTGTTAGTCAGCATACCTAAATGAATACTTGCAGCAGATAGTATCGAATAAGGAACATTAATTTTGATACATATTTCTGTTTTCCACTTCCACTAAATGCAAAAGCTGCTACCACAGTTTGTGGGTTTTTTTTTCTCCAAACTTACACACTTTACCTTCCTGGTGTCATTATACATTGCCATGACAAACAGCACTTTTGCTCTTTCCCTTCTTCCTCCCCACTTTGAGATATAAGTTTGGAAAGATGGAAGCACACGCATTGTTAATTTGACATCAGTTCCCTTACGCTTACTCCAGTGCTATTTCAGCTCTCTCAGCAAAAGAATTCATCTCAGTGAAACAGTGGGGAGTTGAGCTACACTGATGCATTAAAGGGGTCATGGCACAACAGTCAGGCTAAACTGAAGATCAAGCTACCCAGTAATGATCACTAAGGGAAGGAGAGCACAACACTTCACTATTAGTTAAGAACAAATAAGCACAATGAAAGTTGAATACTAGCCCAGGAAAGTTGCATGTGTTCTGATAATCAGCGCTTAATGAAGGAAAAAGTCACTGTACACAGGAATGCATTTAAGTAAAAGCAGCATTATGATTTACATAACAGCTGTTTACAGTCATACCAAACTCCTCCTTGCAATTCATCTTACCTTGATCAGCTTTGTCTTGATTTGCAAATTCCACGGTGTACTTGGAGCAATCTAGTCCTAAGAGTTCTTGCTGCTGTTTTAAAATTTCATCCATCAATCTTGAATTATTCCTCTTGAAAATACCTTTAAAAAAAGGTTGTATGTCAGCCAACTCCTATAAAGAATGCAACAAAATAAATCTTACACTAGGCAGGAAGAAAAAAAAGAATCAGGTAGTCAGTGCTGGTTTCAAACTGGAGTTCACAAGTATGATAAGAATCCAAAGCAAATGCTACTGCACATGACTAATTTCAGTGACCTTGGAAAGAAAACTCATGTGGTTTTGTTCCTCTTTCACTCAGCCTGGTTTAAGTAGCAAGCTGCAATTGCATAAGGGATAGTTTAAGACCCAGTTCATTGTCCTTAGTCTGCTAGCAATAGTTTTGCGATAGCAATACCCTACCAGCACATGGCCACCAAGTCAGATTAACACCAAGTTTCTTTCATGCCCATGCTGCTGTAGATTTGCAGCTTAAGTCTGGTACCACTTACTGCCACACCACTAAGGCTGCAGGCTAACAAAGCAAGTCACCACAGAGCAAGAGCCAGAAGACTAAATCAGCATATCAGTAACTGTCCACTCTTACGCCAATGGCCAATGCCATGGATTTCCTAATAAGAGGATTTCACAAGTTGTATATTCCAAGGAGTTAATGCACTCCTCAAGGTCTTTTTATACTTACATGTTTATGGTAGACACATTCTGAGTGCAGATTACAAAAACATGCTTAACGAAACATACTTGGGTTCTTGTTCTAAAACAAACTCTAGCTCTTAAGAGGGACACAACCCAACGATTTCTAATTAAAAGCCAAAGTAAAAATTAAGTGTTACAGCTTAAGTATTTACAATGCAAAAGTGTAGCTAAGCGTATTTACTTAGGAACTGATAACGTTTTTATCACATTGTATTCAGAGGTTGTTACTAAGAGTGTAAGTTTCATTCAGAAATCCTTTGTGTCAAGCACTTCTCCTCGCCATTCTAATGCCCACACAATAATCTTAGAAGAAACACTGAACTTGTATACAATTTTATGATCAGGCTCATGATTCATCACCTCAACCTGATTCTGGGATTAGAAATTGCTACAAACAGCAGTTTCTACATCAGCGTGTAAGCATTGGGTTAAGACCATAATACATTAGGGAGTTAGTTTGCAACATGAAGTAATACAACTCCATTTATCTAATAAGCTAGCCTTTAGGCCTAGTGAGTTAGTATTTTTATACAGGCTTCACTAGAGGTTTTAATAGGTGGTAAGCATCTGGTTTTCCTCCCATCCTGGATACTTCCTGTGAAAAAAAAAATTACTTCATTACACAAGTGTTACCAATGCTTATAACTGATTTCACATGCTGACATACAAGCAAATCTTAGTAAGGCAGCAACCTTGATAGAAAGAAAAGCATTAGAATACTTTCACTAAATCTAAACTAAAGTTAAAATTGTTACACTTTGTGCTCCTGCTTACTAGTATATATTCATACATAGTAGAAATTGAAAATGCTGCTTTGCATAATACTGTTTGGTACAACTCTGGTTGGATAAGTCTGTTTTGTGCTAGAGTTAGCACTGATTGCCTTCCTTACACTTAAGGTCAGCAGCAGTGCAGCTACTGCAAATCCCACACCATCTTCAAGTAAGATCTGTACAAGGTTAGGTGTGCCTCACCTCTAAGTCATCTGACTTCCATTCACTTTTAAAGATGAGAAAAAAAACTATGCTCAATATTCAGAAAAAGAGTTGGCACAATTAGGATATGCTCCCAATCTGGGAAACAGACAGCTGCTCTCTTCCCCTTCACCACCCAACACTAATGATAACAATTCTTTTCTCATTAAAAGTTATTGCCTAATCCTGTCAAAGATTGGAAGAACAGATTTAAGAATCCACACTCCAGCTCTAAAGTAAAAGCAGACATTAAGGATAACAGGTAGGAGAATAGACTAAGGTGTTTACTGCTCAGTAAAAAGGGACATCAGATTGGTCTGGCTCTGAAGTGAAGGTCCTTAATACACACAGTGGATACTGAAGACTTGGTAGATATATTCTTGAGATTTATCTGAATATCACCAGCACACCCCTTCTACTCTCCTCATTTATGTCACCCACCTACTTAGTTGTTCAAATCTGGGTCCTGCATTGCTCTTGGAATAGCAGTTTAACACAAACTGGAAGCTACAGTAGTTGTAGTATGTCTTTCTTGGAAAGACCTCCACACCTAAATTCCAACTGATCCACCAACCTTGACACACCTGCAGTTTTCCTGCAGACAAGATCCTGAAGCACATCAGAAGGTAGTAAATATCATAGAATTATTTAGGTTGGAAAAGACCTCTACAATCATCGAATCCAACTGTCAACCATGCCCACTAAACCATGTCCTGAAGTGCCTTGTCTACATGCTTTTTGAATACCTCCAGGGATGGTGACTCAACCACTTCCCTGGGCAGCCTGTTCCAATGCCTGACAACCCTTTCAGTAAAGAAATTTTTCCTAATATCCAATCTAAACCTCCCCTGCCGCAACTTGAGGCCATTTCCTCTCATCCTATCTCCAGCCACCTGACAAAAGAGACCAGCACCCACCTCACTATGACCTCCTGTCAGGAGGATCCAAACTAACCAAAATCTTCATTTAAAGCCAATAGCATTTGGGAACTTCATTCCTTCAGCATCTTGTCTCCCACTCAGGGCACAAGAGACTTTCTTACTAATGCATATGATGGCAAATACAGTCCTGCCAGAGGCAATGTACATGGGCCAAATTCACACTTGACTTTAAAAATTATTTTACGTGGTTGTGGCTCAAACATACACTCCCTTCCTTTACAGTACCTCAATAACCTATTTGTCTATAAGGTTCATTTTTTAAAACTTTGAAAATACATCCAAGTTAGTTCTGGAAGATGCTGTTGCTAGTTTATACATGATAAATGCAGTAAACAAGAGTGCATGAGTAGACCAACTCACTAACAAAATTCAAGTGTTCCTAGGCAACAAGACTTCAAGTCTTGATTCAACACTACCTTCCAATTTCATTCAGTCTTCCACGCAAGTTGAAAGCAAGTCCATATGATTTTACCATTATAGAAAGTTAATATTTGACAAGAGGTCCCATAAATTTTAGCAATACAACAGCTGTTTGCTGTTAAGTGGGGAAAATTTCAGCCTTACTACTGTTTCTAATATGGAACACAAACATGAAATTGTCATTATTATTTCTCATTAGAAACAATTTTTGGTTTTGAAAAGCAGAAACACTTTTGTTCAGTCACAACTCTGGAGTTTTTGCAAGGTGGTACAAATGTGTATATTCCAGCAAGTGAAGTGTTTTAAGAATTATGCATATTTAAGCACTATAATTCCCAAAGCAATGAGAATATAAAACTTTAGTTTACTTTTTTTTTTTCCCCAACTACTGCAAACTTGTGAGCTGTTTCCAGGGTTAATTCTTGTTTTTACAACACAAGCTGGAAACCTGCTAATTGATCATCAGTTCCCATCAGAGCTGAGGCAAACCAGAAGCGTTTTAGCTTCCTGCAGTAGTCCTCCATCACACGGGTCTTTTCCAGGGCACGTGCCTTTTGCTCAGTTTTACAATAGTTACAAGCCATGTCCCTTTCCAGTCATCTGTGGTGTTGTAGCATTTTAGGGTTAGAGACCAACAAATGCAGTTTGTAATTAAGAGGCTGCAAGTTCAGCAGAAGCAAAAGGCTCCAAAGTGACAGGAATTGTGAACTGGAGGGAAACAAGTGGCACAGAGAAACACCAGGTGGTGTCAACCATTTGCCTGGCTAGACTACCACGGCCACCACCTGTTAATGCCTTGGTCACAGCTCAAAGTTCAATATTCTCACTTGCCCTGCTTTTCAAAGCAGCAGAATCTGGTAAAACACAGGATACAAGTCAGCTCTTGCTTACAAGGGAACACCTTAACCAAAGTTAAGCCTAGGAAAGAATACATTTCCACAGCATTTCAGTTATCTGCTTTTTCTCCACTCCCTGCCAGTGCCAACAAGGGAAGAGTCATAAGGTAACAAGTCCATTTAAAACATCAAAGTATTAACAGTTTGAGAAACATCAAATCATAACCAAATTCAAATAATGTACATGCAAGAAACAGTTTTAACACATGAACAACTTCCGTCTACATCCTCATGTTGGATCATGCTGGGTGATAACAGAGGAAAGCAGGGTTTGAGTCAATTACACTGGACCTCACAGGATATGGAGAGCTAGAAAAATGTATTAGGCTTGTCTGCTCCAAGAGCCTAGAACAGAATATAATCCAAGTTTGGAAGTGGATGAAGTCACTTAAGTTTCACCCACATTAAAGCCACTTAAGCTAGCGCTAACCACATGGGAATAATTCAAGTTAGAACTTATAACCTCATATGTGACCGTTCCTCCCACGTTTTTTCTTGGAGGGACATTCTGTACCAGAAGAACAAGAGCTTATCAGCAATCAAAAGAAGAGATACTACTTTCGTACTACCCATACCTATAAGGAGATTGCCTTCTACAGATTAGCATTAGCCCTTTTAATAAATGTTGGGAGGAGTCCTCAGACCACAAAACACCAAAATGCAATTGTGGAACATGAAGTTTCACATGGGTGAAGATCCACAGCAGATGCCATGTGATACTGGTACCTCCCAAAAGTGTTGCAGTAACACAAACCCACAACATATTTATCTCCCCCAGTGAAGTGAACACACAGAACACCCAGAAAGTTTTATGGATTGATCAGATCAGCTAACTACCAAGTAATCTGGAAGAGACTAAAAGCCTATGTTTGGGGCTAATGAAATAATTTCTTTTGCTTACTGCAGTACTCTATCCTTTCAAAGAATTTCTAAGAGAAAATTGTTCGAAGTAAAGGAGATCACTGGAAAGCTAAACCCGCGACAAAGAAACCAAAGTTCTCAATACAGTCATACTACGGGCTTAAAGAAACCTTCAACGTGAAGCATCTATTCAGGAGCCCAAAGAACTCAAATGCCAAGATGCAGCAAGCTCCCAAAATGTGCTCTAGACTTGTTCCAAACTATTTCAGGAAAGCTTCACCGATGGACAGAAGTAACACTCAAGCAAGCTCCCTTGAG